TCCTCAGTAATATTGGTTACATGAATGAATAAGTAAATGAGAGCATCAATTTTTTCACTATGACTGGGAGCAGGTCTAGCCAGCCTATCTAGGAGAGGGAGTTGGCAATAACAGCCCTGATTGTTCTCAGCTTCTACTGTGTTTTGGAATTTGAATGTAGGAAATGACAATATCCCTACTCCTCCTTTTCTTGGCTTATTTTCTTCTGGATTTTCCAACTGCCTGCTCTCCACCCACAATGCAGAGAAATAAAGAATGGGGTTCATTATGTCTCAACAAGCCTGTCAGCTTAAACTAGACATAAATTTCTTTTTCTTTCCTTCACTGAGCTATATTACTTTGGGTGTTTCACCTAGTTGTTCCATTTCAAGGAGGGCATATGTGGTCTATGGATTTAGATACTTTGAGAGCCCTGGAAATCTTTTTTTTTTTTCTTTTCTCTCTTAAAAATTCACTTAACAACAATTTATGGAGCTCTACAGAGTGGCTGATATTGTGCTAGGCATTGGGGAGAAATAAAATACATAAATAAAACATACCAATTACCCTCCAGGAACACTGAGTCTATTAGACAAACAATAATTGCAAGACAATGTGAGCAATGGTATAGTGGAAGCTTGTCGAGAATGGTCTGTTGGCACAGAAGGCATCAGTAAGTCTGCCAGGAAGAGTTAGAAAATGCCCCACGCAGGAGGTGACACTCAGGTGTGGTCTTAAAGCATGAGTAGAAGTCACAAATTGGAGAGAAGGGTTCTCAGGAAGAGAGGTGAACCTGTGGAAAGGTTCCAAGAACACGCCATGTAACAGAAATCAGTGAGGTGTGCCTGGTGAGCTGTGGAAACATCTGGAGGTGCGTACGGCAGGTGCGTGCCTGGTACTAAGATACTTCTCAGCCATGCCTTTTTAAATCTGAGTTTTTGTCTATGGATGATGGATGTTTATATTTTAAGCAGAAGAGTGACGTGCTTTAGAAGGTAGCTTTGGCACTAGTGCTGAGGTGGATTAGACAAGGTAGGAGTAGAAGCTGTTGCAGGTTTTCAGGAGAGAAATGGATTCAACAGATAGCCAGGAGGAGGAAGTAATGCTCCAACAACAAATAAGGAAGACACGGATCGGGCAGTGAGTATTGAGTTCGGTTGTGGACATGTCCTCATAGTGATCCTGGGAAGATGTCCAGGAAGGAGGCAGAGCTGTACATCTGCAGCTCCAGAAAAGAGTGATGGATCCAGGAATCACCCAGGAAGAGATGGTATTTAGTCAAGAGAGTGGGAAGATGTCACTGAGTGGACAGGTCCCCACAGTAAGGGTAAATTACATGGAGGATGCCCATTTGGTAGATGAATTTCATTTCTTTACATAAGGGGTCCATGGGATACAAGAGATGTTTGAAGAAGTCTAGGAACCCCTGACATTTTAAGAAACACTTCAAGTGTAGCTTTTTCTTGCAGACACCACCTATAGCTTTTACCAAATTCTTAAAGGGGTCTGAGCTAAAAAGAGTCAAAGCCCATTGTGTTTTGATAAATATTTTGTAAGTCCTTGACACTTAGGACTTGAACTGAATTAAAGACAGATCAGTTCAGGCTGGAAAATAACTTTGATACAATGATTTTTTTTCTCATTTGATCATTTTTGGAAAAAGAACCCAAGTCCCGCTGTGTTTTGGGGAGAAGGGAAAGAAGAGGGGTGAGAGAATTGAAAGTTCGGTTGGATTCATGATTTGATTAGAAACAGGTCAGATTTCTCTTCTGTTCAGATCAAATCTCTACGAAGGAATACTTCCAATTAAATGTGTGTTTGGTCATATAACAAAAGTAGAAAAATGAAGTCATTGTCAACATGGTTTAAAAGTATTACCTCTGTCGTTCCAAATGAGATATATATATATTCCAGTGATTCCTAAACTGCCACCCCTTCAGATCACTCTCCCCACCACCAAAAACCTCTAGTTTTGTTGTGTATTTTGAACTTGATCCAAGTCTCTCACTTAACCATTGTAGCACAGTCAAGCCTTTCTCCATAATAGCCTTCTCCATGTAAAAGAGCTTTCACTGAAGTTTATACTCTCAATAGAGTCTGAATATAAAATTGCCATTCTTTTGGTCATCCAAAGACACTATCAATAAAGTGAAAAGACTATGATGGAATGAGAAAAAATATTTGCAAATCACATTTGATAATGGAATAGTATCCCACATATACAAATAACTCTTACAATAAAAAGACAAATAACCCAATTTAAAAATGGGCAAAGGATTTGAATGGTCATTTCTTCAAAGAAGACATACAAATGACCAATAAGTACATGAAAAGATGCTCAATTTCATTAGTCATTAGGGAAATGCAAATCAAAACCACAATGAGATAAGATACCACTTCACACTCACAGGATAGCTAGAATTTTTTTTAACAGAAAATAACAAGTGTTGGCAAAGATACGGAGAAATTGAAACATTGGAAATAGAAATATAAAATGTACAGCCACTGTGGAAAACAGTTTTGGAAGTTCCTCAAAAAGTTAAATATAGAATTACCATATGACCCAGAAATTCTACCCTTAGGTATACAGTCAAGAGAGGTGAAAACATTTATTCACAAAAAAATTCATATGCAAATGTTCATGGCAGCATTATTTATAAAAGCCAAAAAAATGGAAACAACCCAAGTGTCCTTTGACTGAAGTACTTATAAACAAAACATGGTATAGTCTTATGATAGAATATTACTCAGCCATAAAAAGGAATGGAATTTTGACACATGCTACAACATGAATGAACCTTGGAAACATTATGATAAGTGAAAGAAACCAGAAACAAAAGTCCACATTTATATGATTTCATTTGTATGAAATGTCCGGAACAGACATATCCAAAGAGACAGAGAGTAGTGGTTGCCAGTGGGTGGGGATAAAAGGGAATTGGGAGGTATGAGATTTCTTTTTGGAATGATGGAAATGTTCTGGAATTATATATTGGTGATGGTTGTACAACATTGTGAATATACTAAAAGCTGGTGAATTGCACACTTTAAGATGGTTAACATGGTGGATGATATGTTATATGAATTTTTTCTCAATAAAAAATGCAAAAAAAAAATGCCAGCTGACTTCAGCTGTATGCCAGAAATAAGACAATCAGCATCCAGAAACTTAAAAAACAAAAATTTCTCTTGTCTTTGTAAAAGTCAAATACTTACACATAGGTTGAGAATTCCTGAACATTTTAAGATCAGAAATATTCATTCTATCCCTGTTGAAGACTCAAGCACGTTGAAAAACTCACTTAGTAAATAACGGAAGTAGAGGTAATACCAGCATGCGTTTGCTCCGTGAACACATTTCTAAAGCTTGGGGTAAATGTAATGACAAGGCATTCTATTAAAACCCTCTTTAAATTTATGAGTATTCTCAAATTTAAAAGTCTTTGGAGTAGATGAAGGTGGGGGTGGGGGCCAAGAATCAAACTGCCACCCCTTTCTCACTGTCTGTTTCTTCCAGAAGTGAAAGCTAAGTTTGGGTCATCAAGGCCCTTTGGAATTCTTTTGAATTTCACACTTTTTTGGACTGAAATCATTTACATTTACACTTGGAACACTGAGTACCATAAGCTTCCACTCTGTGCGGTGTTCCTGCTCGATCCCCAAGGAAGCTCATTTCATTTCTATTCGTCTTCCTATCATACAGCCTCGGGAAAAGATACGCATGATGGAAAGGAGGGCTTCGCTTTTTTAAGAGAGGCTGCTAATAGTGTCAAATAACTAACGAAAAATGTCCCAATCCCAGCAAGATTGTTTGATAGCCATCATGTAGCAGAAAAAAAAAAAAAAAAAAAGCTTTTTTTCTCAAAGTAGTTCTCTCTGGCCTTGTGTGTGTGCCCATGTCCCCTATTAACTCTTTAATGGCTCTGTTCCCCAACCACAGAAGCTCTCTGAGTGTCAGGCAGGAGCATAAATATAATTTATGGTGTCCAGTGCAAAATGAGTATGTGCAGCCTGTTGTTCAGAAAGTATTAAGAATTTCAAAAAGGCAAGTGCGGAGCGAGCACCCAGAGGTGAGCGCGTCACAGCCAGTATCTGGTGGAGGGAGTCTGATCAGACCTGGGGGTCCCCTGGATCCAGGCTCCTGCACCTCCTTCCAGAATTGCCCTCTTCTTGCCTGCCACAGAAGGCTAGTGACCCCCACCTCTCTCGTTGCTACCAGGACTTTTTTTTCTTTTTGTAAGTCTCAAGCTCGAATGCTATTGTTTAACGTGTGTTTAATTTTTCTTTGGGGATGGGAGCGCTACGTATTCGCTTGGCCATGAATGGCAGGGCGGCCAGGTGGCTTAACTATGGGTCCTTCAAGGATTGAGGAAGGGGGCCGAGAGGGGCTGCACTTCCTCTCATCTCCACCCTGACACACTTTGCCTGTCTGTGTTTTTATTAGCTCGTATCCTCAGTACATCGGTGGCAAGGGTGATGAAACCGGTGGCAGATTTAACTGCCAGGCAGCTGGGTCACTGTCCCGTGGGTCTTGTTGCCATGCTGCGATCTTAAAGTGACCATGTCTGTTTGGGCTGCTGTTTCCCGGGGCCTCCGAGAGAAACCACTGAATGGTTAATCGGTGGGAAAGCAGAGGAAGAGGCTGTTGCTTGCAGACAGCACAGAGAGGCTGCTTTGAAAAATCCCAAGGTGGCTGAATATCAAGAACACGGTTCCTGCTGTGGGCAGCTGTGTGTGTGAAGGGCAGCCTGAGGGCTTAAAATCAAATCTCCCGCATGGGTCGTGTCCTCCCTTGGGGCCTTGGCAATGGAGGCAGAAGGTCTAAACACCACAAAACGAAGAAACCCTCCATGCTATCTGATGAGGCTTATCACTTACAGTCATTTTTTTTTTTTTATTGTTAGCAGCATCGGTAAATAATGTCCTCGAAGGGAAAAAAAGAAAGAAAAAGAAAGAAATAGTGCTAAGGAGAGAGAAAACAGGATGACTTATTTAGAGGGAAAGAACAGCAGGCCCCTTACCTGAAACCTTCTCATGTCCCTTGGGTTTCCTGCTGTTTTCAAACAATTCTGATTGCACTTGAGGAAAAATTTTAAAAAGAATCTGTGAAGAGAAAGCAATGTGTTACATTTTTAAGGGAACCTGTTTTAAGAGAGACTATATCTGCATTATATTGGATTGGGTTTGAAAGTGATTGTATTTCAGGTCTGGGGAATTTCAGCCAGCCCTGCCTGGGAAGGAACATTGCTGACCCTTTGCAATTTGCAAATTTGAATGTTTTCAATCAAAAGCAAGTCTAAGGATCGCGCCAGGGTTCCCAAGCTGAGTTCTGGTTTGCACACCCGACCCTGGGCTGCTCGGGCACTTTCTCTCTCTGCACCCCCACAATTCCCCAGAAAGGTTCCCAACCACAGCAGTGACTCCTGCTGTGCAACATGTCCTGCTCTGAGGTTAAAAATGGCATGACTTAGTCCCAAATCCCAGGGTTCCTCCCGTATGTGGCTTTCTGCCCTCCACATACCCCCTCATGCTCCCACACCACACACATACACCCTCACACACAAAGGGAGCCTAGTATTCTCAACCAATGTATATACACCAGAAAATAGCATGTTCCCATCCAAAGACAGAGTCAGTCTGTGCAGGTATATGCTGGACATTTTATAATTAATAACAAAAGCAAATGTTTTCAGACCTTCTAGCACTTATCCAGACAAATACAAAGACACAGAATCAGCAGTGCAAGGTTATCATTCCTAAGACATATTTTTGAAGCCAAGATCCCCCTAAATAAACTATTTCTACAATTTTGAAAGTGAGCATTGCTAATCAGACAAGCATATCAACCAAGAGAAATGGCAGACGTGGCCTTTTCAGCCATGCACCTATTTCCTATTTGGAATTTTGATTTAAAATACAGTAAGTTTTTCATTTATTTCACTTGCAGAGTCCTTTTCCTTAAAAAAAAAAAAAAATCCAGCTTTTGCAGTGTTAAAGTCCCAGGTGAGCTAGGCCTATTTCCCTTTCTGTTACTATGACAACGAAATTTTACCGCAGTCCCAAAGTCCCTCCAGAACTCTCACATCCATGCCTTGAATTAGAACTTTAAAGGAAAAGATATACATTTTCCCTAGGATTTACCAACAAAAATAAGTAGAAATCAACAATGCTTCCAAAAAATCTATTTTGAAACCATGTTGGTGTGATGCTGTCACAGTGACCTGCTGCTTATTTTAATTTTTTTAACAATCACACAAAAGAATCGGAAAGCACTCCAATTAATTGTATTTAGCACTTACAGAAGAAAAAAAAAACCCAATGGAAAGAAAAACAGTAAATGATAAGGGGGCCCGCAGGGGGACTGCACTCTTCAGAGCATCTTCTGTATTTGAGGCCCATATACTCTGCATTTGCTAAAAATATTTGGCCAAGTCCTCCTGACCCCTATCTGTGAATATGGTTGCGTGTGAATTTGGAAATAACAGTTAAATATTTTTTCATTATTTTACAATGCCTGCTTTTCATTTCTCTCTTGGATCTTTTCTGGGGTGGGAGGTTAGGCTTTGCTTCCCGTGCTGTGAGGGTGTCCGGGGTCTTTATACCTCCAGAATGACAAGGCAGAGAGAAGGTCCCACTCTGCATTACACAGAACTCAGAGTCACCATCTGATGCCTCTGCTCGCCAGACTGCAGTGAAAGTCCGTCCATAGCCGTCAGAGCGAGTTAAAAAGGAGAGCTGCTTTTATTTAAGGAAAGATTGATCAGAATTCAAACATTTTATTTTTTTAAGCAGAAACATTTTTTCATTTGTGCATTCAGAGCAACATCTCTGCTACAGCCCCCCACCATACATGGAGATGCTCTCACAATATATTCAAAACCTGCCTTTTTCACACTTGAGTCTCTTTCCGAACAACAGCCCCCACTGCACACCACATTGCCCCTCTGAAGCCCCACCAGTGAGTTATATCTTTTCCCCACTCAATCCAAACCCAGGGCTTTTCCCCACTAACTCTTCGATTTTTGGAAAGTTTTACCACACCTGGGCTTCTAATAATGCATTCTGGGTGTGTTATACTGTCCCCTCCCTGTCCCACCCTTTGTCCAAAGTGTATCTGGTGAAAACATTCGTGTGCAGGAAGGCATTATTAAATGAGTAGTGTGGTAGGTGGACAAATGCAAAGGAGACAGTATTTACATAAAATCACAATAATTTAGGGAAACAAGGACCTGCTGAAGGGGTTTATTCATTTTAAATTAGGACCCTTAACAGTTCTTTGGATAGAAAACACCCAGTTTCGACTCTTTTGGTGGTTGGGGTCTGAGTCTGCGACCTCCACAGCCCCATGCACACTAAGGACAGAACATTCCCTTCACAAAGGGAAAGAACGTAGTGGAGTAGGGAGGGAGTCTGAGAAAAAAGAGAGAGAGAAAGAGAATTCTTACATCGCAGAGTCCTTCCTAAAAGAAGGCACAGCTACTGCTAAGTGGCCCGCAGCAGAAAGTATGGCCTGGATACTTCATAGGTGGACCTAAGAATTAATTAAAAAGAATTCTGGGCTTACTGACAACTCCAATTTTTTCTCCTCCTTTTACTGATGTCTTCCTCTCCTTCCCCTTCAGCCCCTCCTCCCACAGTGCTCAGGGGCTTGGAACAGACCCTTTACCAACCACACCAGCCATTAACCATAGGGTAACTTCAGGGGACAAATCCCCTGGATCTAGATCCCTCCGAAGCTAGAGCTGCCCGGAAAATGTCAGCTCTCTCCACTCAGAAATGGGAAACCAAAAGGAATTACAAGATTCAGACCAAATGTGCAGATTCTCCTCAGAATGGAAGCTGTTATTTCCCCCTTTCTCCAAGCATTGTTGACTGCATGAATGCCATAACCACTGAGCGTGGCGCCCTTCGCAAGGCTTCCGATATCTTCCTTAAGGGTGAACACAAACAGCCTACAGGGTTTACCTTTGTTTTTATAGACCAAGAGGAATAAAGAGGTGGGGTCCAAATGAGAACTCCAGCCCTCGGATTTCAACCCAGCCCCTTGGTCCTCTGAGACAACATGATGTGCCCAAAGGCATTCCTTCACTCCACAAGTATTTACTAAATGCTGGCAGTGTGCTAATCTTGACCTGCTACCAGCTACTATGTAACCAAGTTACCCCACTTCTCTGGGCCTCAGTTTCTTCAACCCTTAAAACAAGGGTTAGGTGGATTATCTCTAGAGTTCCTTCCAACATTCATATTCTGTGATTGCTGAGAAAAATGCATCAAGTTGAGAACCTTTCCAGAAATGGTTACGTGTAAAGAAGAAACCATTAAAGACAAAAAAGATCATGACTCACTGAAGTCCAAGTAGGAGTGTGGGCAGAGGTTTTCGGAGACACAGGTCGGATCCACTGATCTGCGACTGCAAAGGAAAACTATGCAGGGGAAGCTGATCGGTAGAAAATGGGACATCTTGGCTGATGCCTTGGCCAGAGCTGGTGGTACCCCCAGCTGGATGGGCATGCTTCAACAAGACACACTATTCCTTAGGATACTTTCTGTATGCTTCTGAGGCAGAAGGGGGCTTAGGAATGTCACAGATCAGAGCCATTTCTGTCTCTGCTCAGCATCCTGTGTGGTCCAGCAGCTGAAGGGGACAGGGGTCACACAGGGGAGAGAAAAAAGGCTTGCCAAATGCCTACTCTGCACCATGCTCCCAGCTACATGCTTGGTATACGTTGCCTTATTTATTTCTCACAGCAACTTTATGAGTGAAGATCACTGCCTAACTAGGAAAAACAAAGGCACCAGGAATTGAAAATTTTGCTCAAGATTATACAGCTCTGTAAGGGGCAGAAACAAGGATTTGAACCTCGGTCTTTCTGGCAGCAAGCTCCAGCTGGTGTTCGGTGTTTCCTGCACCAGTTAGATTGTGATGATAGACGCACCCTGTGAATATACTAAACACCACTGAACTGCATACTTTGAAAGGATGAACTTTATAGTATGTAAATTATATCTCAGTATAGCTGTTTACAGGAAAAGCAAACCATTTCCCCTCACCCCGTTCCTGCAGGATGCTTTACCTTTGGAAAGAACAAGGCTGTGATGTAGCGACTATTGTCTGTCTCCTGTGTGTCTGTTTTTGTCACTGATGGGTTTGAAGACATTGGGTGCATTTATTTTCTGTAATAAAGTTTCTTAGTCTTCCCCAAATGTAAAAAAAAAAACAAAACCTTCAGAACACAAGATATGAAAAAAGCAAAAGGAAAATAACATGAAGAATTCTGATTTCCTGGAGAGTGAGGGGACAATAGCAGCCCAAAAGGAAAACATTAGGCCAAAAATAGTTGCATGGCAGTAAATGTTTACTATTGAAAATGCCTACTGGATTCACATATTTACTCACTCGATCAATTATTAAGTGTGTAGTATGTGCCATGAAGACTTAGGCACAATGGTGAATACGATGGACTAAGTCTTGTCCTCAAGAGCACACAACCAAACTATTCAAAATATGCATCTTCAGATTCTGAGACAAGCCCAGAGCCCCTGGGTATGGGCCTGAGTAAGATCCCCGGGGATTACCTAGTACCCAAGAAATCTCTGCCCCTCCAATCTCTGGAACATCAGAGCCCTTAGCACTATACAAGGGAAGGAAAGTTCCTTGGTGCGCTAGCCGTGTCCTGAGCCCTTCTGAAACGAAAACGGCGCTTCAGCCTAGATGCACAAAGAGGGTGTAGAGTTAGTGTCCTGGGGTGGGGGCAGTGGGAAGTCTCTGACTCACAGGAAGGGTAACTCGTAATATTCATACCAGACTCCGGGATTAGAGCCAATGATTTCACCAGTACAAACCCCAGCATATTCCTCCAGATTTGTGGGAGAGGCCATTCAATTTACCCCCACCTTGAAATCCAAGACCTAGTAGCTTCTAAGAAATTGTAATACAAAACATCTTTAGAAATTACTGTGGAAGGTATGAAAGCTGCTTTCAAGAAGAAGACTAGACTGGGATGCGTATCAAAGGAATGTGAATCTGACACCAGTCACAGCTACCGCCGTGCAGAGCCTTACTCGATGCAAAATAATACGTAAACTACCTTTGGTCCTTGAAA